CAGCATTCTACAAAGCAAAGGCCTAATGCAATTTCTCAATATTAACAAATGCATATGCTTCCATAAAGATTTTACTTGTGCATACTGATAAAGTTTATTCTCATGCATATTAAATTAGACTTTGGAGTTAGAACATCCATTCATTGAGTATTTATAAATGCTAATATATGCTCATTTTGATGAATACAAACAAAAATCAATCTAAGCCTAATTATTTTATAGCACTAACAAAACATAGATGGAAAAAGGAAACTAGATATTAAATTCTATAGCTTTTTATATGTAATCTGTATGCAACTTCTGTGAAAATCAGATTGACTGCTTTATAAAGTTTAAGCCCTGAGATATTTCTGTTATGGTACTTTACAACAGATCTAAGTTTTTTGCCTCTTTTTTTGTTTGTTTGTTAGTTTCTTTAGTTCATAGAAGTATCAAAACACATTTCTTACTGATTGAACATAGACTTGCAATTTTCCAAATCCTAATTAGAAATTCCAGAGTTATTCAAGAAGTGTAACATATAATAGCATACCATTTATCTAACATAACAAGAAGATAAAATGTGGTATCAAAAAACTCTTATTAATAAAACAGCAGATTGGTCAGTATGTTTTTAGGATCAAACATACGTTATCATATTTAATTATTAAAATGGATAAATAGGAAATTGGCTTTGAATTACACAAATGACATACACTTTGTGACTAAGCACAAATCATTTGTAATAGAATTTCTCCTCCATGGGAGGTTGTAATTCTTCACAAAATGTCTAGGTTGCTTGACAATTGAAAATTACACATTTCACCTATAGTCATGTTTCTAACATCAATATTGTCAGCAGAAAAAAAAAAGCAATCAAGTATAAGCAAGGCCTACTGAATTACTCCACTGGCCTTGCATTATTTTTAGGGAAGTGCTGTTAGTACAGAAGCCAGCTGTTTAACTATTGGAATTCTGTAACTTGGCCTGTTTTCAGTGAACTTCAGAACTGTATGACTAAACTTCATATCTGTTTGTAGCACATGGAAAGAAACATTCACATACTTGGTACAGTAGATTAAACAGGAGCCAAAAATTCTATTAAGTAAGCTTTGACCTACATGATATGAAACCTCTTTTGAGCTAACAACGACAAAAAAGGAAAGAAACCTCCAAGGACATCAGTGTACGTCAGCAAGAAGGAATGCCTAGGACTGTTATATGTCCACAGGCAGCACTTTGAAGGTTGAGTAAATATAAGGAACTTTCTGATAACAGCTGGGAGGCAGCACTGAAACGGTGTCAGAATGAAGAGAAAGGCTGTATGGGTGCCCAATATAGTAACATAGCAGGATCAGTCACTATTTTAAGGCCATATCATCAAAAATTTAAGGAACAGAAAACTGATATTAAATGTATAGGACTACCAGCCATTTTTTTACTCATATGTTTTTCAGGCTTGAAATTAACTGCTTTTTAAGTCAGACAAAAGCTCAGGCATGTGCATAATGTTGCCTACAGCCATTAGCCCCATTGCCTGCAAAGAAGTTTGAACATTTACTTAGATCTAAGTGCATATTTTAGTACTCTGATGAAATGAACACATCAAATGAGATGTGTTCTGTGTCCTTCAGAAGCACGTAGGTAAAGTGCTGATAATATCTGTAGAAGTGACAGTATCTCCTCGTAATTCTTTATTGCATCCTTGTCTGTGATAAGAGCTGTAATAGCCAAATTACATGTTAAGAGGACAGCAGCAGTTTAAAATTTGTTAATGATGTCAGATGTCTCTCAAAAGCTGAGTTTAATATTACTGGAAAAAAAATCCTTTTGTGCTTATTTGCTTTGTTTATATTACAGCACTTCAAATAATATCAATTTCTGTATCACATGAATCTCTTTCATACAAATTCTAAGCTTACTTAATTTGCTTTTTCCTTTTTTTTTTTTTCCCTTTGAAACTTTTTGGGATATTTTAAGAGAGACAATTTCAAAAATATCATTAGACCAATACTATTGAGAGAATGAGCATTTAGCATGCCATGTAACCAATGAGTAATTTTGTCTACAAGTGCGTCAAGTTTCATTCTTGATCACAGCACTAATGTGTCCATGATTCCATTCCAAATTCATTACATGCTTCTTAGAGGTTTTTAAAAGAGCTACAAGATGTTGTATCTTACTCTCTAAATGTCTTACTCTATCAGGAAAAAATATATTTTGTATATATCTTTGATTATAGTAAAAATAATTTTCAAGTACTCTGAAATAACCCCTTCATAAGGCATAGATGCTTTCAGAAATACCAGTGACAATCATTAGTCTGTGAACGGTCTCAGAAGAACAGTCTGACCAAAAAGTATCACTAAGAAAAATTAGGGACCCAGAATGGTTCTACAGAGGATTTGCCTTCAATATGTTGACTTCAATAAAGAGCATTTGTTTTCCTAAACCGTTTCCACAAGAGAAAGACATTTGTAGATCTCATACCCATGGAAGGAACATTTCTTCTATCAAGCTCTGTTATTAATCCACTGAAGTTCCCAGTCTTCCAGGGTACTAAATTTTTCTGTTATCTTCATAAATTCTTTTTTTTTCTAAAAATAAATTATTTTCTAGGTAGAAAATTAACAAATGAACTGTCCATCCTTATTTTTACTATTATCAATAGCACTCCAGGGACCCAACTGAACATCAAAACCTGTTAGCTGCTGTGAAGCACCATTTAGAAGAAAAATTCTGAATGGAATCCTGAATTTAGAAGAAAAATCTTTAGAGGATGTTTGCTTGTGGGAAATTGGTAAAAAGCAGGAAAAAAAAAAGGGCAYGATAACTGATTGAATATTGATATACACAATTCAGATGGGTCTATGAGCCAGAGTTACACGGCATATCCAGGTATAGAATTTGACCTTCTATGTTTTAAATGGGAAGCAAATAAAACAAAATGTAGAAAAGCTCACAGTATCCAGAACAAAAATGTCACTCCACATTTCATTATAGCTGCTAGCTTTTAGAAGAGTATTAGGATAAAAGAACCTTATTAATAGGCTTCAGACTAATCTCCAGGGAGAAGTTTGTAATTTATATTACACCTCAGTGAATGACAATGATGATCCTTTTTTTTTCTTTATCTTCATATTTATATTCTTCAGTGATACATAGAACAAAATACAAATGTACATGCACATACACAAAAATATTACCGTAATATAATCTTGTTTACTGCTCTGGTTAGTCTTAATGAAAAAAATAATTTAGTAGAAAATGTACAGTATAGAGGTCCTCAGCGGATTACAATGTACCAAGTAAGCACGTTTTTCTTTAATTTATAGTCCCTGGAAAAAAAGATATTTAAAAAACCAATTGTCTGAGTTTACAAAACTCTCAGGGATAATTAGTTCTTAGCTGACTGTATTGCTGGCTAAAATGTTAGACATATTTTACCACTAGAGGTCTTTGTACTTACGGATGTCCTGTGGCCTCAAGGGTTCTTCATCAGTGAATTTATGTATTAATCAGGGAATTGCAAACTGTAATATTGTCCCCTAACAGACAATTGCAGGACAGGTATATGAATATCAACTTAGAATCTTCTTTATAAGCATAGTAGACAAGAATATCCCAAAGAAAAAATGAAATTTTCATCTTTGTTGATGTTCTTATTCTTTAACTAGCTTGAGTAATTTCTTAAAAGCCTCTGGCCAAATTCCCAAACTCTGTAAATAATAGATTTTAGTCTATGATAAAACTAAACTAAAATAAAATAAAACAGAAAGAAACAGAAAGAAAAAAAATTGAACTGACTAAATAGAGTTACTTCATTTTTTTTGGCTCATGGGACACTTTTCTTTCCCTTTTCCATATTTTGGAGGCTTTATTCAATGTGGAGCATTCCCTAAATGGAAACATTYAATGTTGAAATGTCAAAACAAAACATTTAAGCTTTTCAGAGTTTATTGTTTGAAACCAAACTCTACCTGAATTTAAAAATAGGTGCAGTAAATCAACAACTACATTTTTTTTGGTGAATTTACTGTTCATTCATTTCTAGTATCGTAATAGGGCAATTACACATTCAGCTGAGTTGCACAGAAACTATAAACCAAGGAAATAATGGTCTGTAATATTTATAAAACAATGAAAACAACAGCTACTAATGAAATCAAAAAGACTAAGAAAAACAGAGTAGAAGAGTTCTACGGATGAAAATGTCACTATTTTTCAGAGCCGCATGAGAAATGTAAGACATTCACCAGTTAAGTATTTTCTACAGCTGCTCAGTGAAAGCACAAAACACAGGAAAGGTAAACCATCTAATGTCAGTCTCATTTCCCATGTTGTATAGATCTGTACAATATATATATATATATTTATCTTTATCTGTTCCGTAAGTCATATTCCCACTTTCGCTGCATTTTATTGGTTACTACATTACCTTATTTCCTGCTTTCTGATAGCTTTTGATTTTTCAGCTCTTACAGTCTGTATAGCAGTATACCTTATTTATTACTCTTTGTGAACACATTTTAACTTCACATGGATAATGAAGATAGCCTTCTTTCAATTAGAAGACTTGCCTAGAAACATTAGCATTATTGAGAAAGGAAATACTTCACAGGCACAATCTACAATCTATATATCAGCAATCTCAACAACCTGTYTTCATCCAATAGTTAAAGGACAAGTTTCCTAAGTTAGACTTCTAAATGCCTGATTTCAGCTTCTTCCTTAACCCTTTTCAATGGCAAGACAGTTCAAGAAAATCCTTCTCTCTAAGAAGATGAGACATGATTTTGCTCCAACGGTTAAACAACCATTGACAGACATGGTAACTGGCCATTTATCAGGAACAACCTTTAAAGACGCAACTGAAGACAGGACCTTACAGTAGAGTCATAGAAGYTGTATCTCTAACTGTCATTGCCAATTCAGATACAACAATGTAATTTGCTGTGATTGCTTCTGAGGTCTCTGCATTTGCTTCCTAGCATAAAATTTTCCCTTTTTGTTTTGCACAGGTAAGCCTACGGGGTACGGATCCAGCAGTAGACGCTTACACCACAAGGGAATAGTGGATGAATGCTGCTTCCAAAGCTGTGACCTGAGGAGGCTGGAGATGTACTGTGCTCCAATCAAGCCACCTAAATCTGCACGCTCTGTACGTGCTCAGCGCCACACTGATATGCCAAAAGCACAAAAGGTAGGCCAGGCTGGAAAAAAAACAAAACATCAACAACGAAAAATAAACAAACCGAAAAAATCCTCTCTTTTAGGGAGAAAGAATTCTGTCAAGGCTGGTTAAATAAACAAAAACTAATTTTTCCTGGATAACAGTGGCTGTAGTAGAAAACATGTAGAAAATGGAGTGTTTATGTCCATCTTCCCTCTTAGAATACTCAACATAAATTTGAATTGTTAAGCTAGTACCTGTGAGGCTTTACACTCTTTCTGAATATTAACTGACYGGTATTCACATTATCTCATCATGAATAGCACAAATCATTGCTTTGCAGAGAAAATCCAACACTCACTGATTAAAAACTGACCTGTTCAGAACCTTCTTGTTCATCTTCCTATGTCAAGAAGAGGAAACGAATGACCAGGAAGAAGAGCACAGCTTTTGCTATTCATGTTTAATGCATAAATGAACATATGCTTTTCTTTTTCCCTTAACCAGTATTTTGACTTTTTTTTTATTTACCAAACCAAATTAACTTAATAGTGAAATTATTCCATATTTTATAATAACTAGTTAATGTACAATGTGCATATTTTTATGCACTTCAAATATTCCATGGCATTTTTTGTATAATCCTGGAGTTCAGAATCTATTTTTTGTCTCTGTGATGCTTGATGCTGCACCTATAGGCATTTACACAAATCTCATCTGCCTTCAACAGAGTTCAGATAGACTGTCTTTAGGCTTGGCTAAAGACGACAAGCTCATTRCCCACTCTCTTTTATTTGAACTCTAAAGCTTTCTTCATATAAAATTCACTTAAGGATAATGAAAGGGAACAGAATTCGATTTTTTAAAAATCATATCAAAGAAAAAAACCACTATTAAAGAGAAATATATTGTAAAAGGAGAGCACTGATCAGAAAGAGAAGAAAAAAATGTTTCTTAGTGGGAAGCTGAAAAATCGATAAGAAAACTGATGGGAAAAACAAATTGAATTTTTCCTTGATATCTGTACATGGAGAGGATGAGGCTGAGAAAACAAAAATACAGTATGGGAAGGAGAACTAAAAATTTAGTTTTGTGATAGACAAGATGAAAATGCAGAGGAGTGAGAAAGGGAATGCATTAAGAAGTTAATGTAAAGGAAAGGGAATTATAACAAGATGAGCATTTTCTATAGCTAAAGGTTTAAAGACACAAACAAAGCTCTGCTTAGTTGCAGCCACAATTCATTCATTTGTTCCCCCGACACCATCCCATTTATCTATATTTTCTACAGTCATTAAGAAAAAAAAAATGGAGATTAACATAATTCCAGCGGCTTTTTATGCAACAAATATATGTAGAGTTGACACCACATATGTGGAGTGGCACACCTTTGGACTTGACACCTTATTTTAAACCTCATTTTAAACTGACACTATTCTCATTTTTTCCAGTCAGCTGTACATACCTGAATTAAGGAAAGCAATGCTGTGTTCAAATATTTTATTTTTATGTGCTCTCTTAGTATGAATGCACTTAACTAATCCATAGTGTTGATATGTTTCTCTTCTAATTAAAAAAAAATTAAAACAAAATATTAAAATTATTGAAACAAGTTTATCTGCTTTAAAATATCTTGCTTCTCCAGTCGTATCATTTTTCCAAAGAAGTTAATGGCAATATTTCCAAGCATCACCTATTCTGTCATTCTTACTTTTTTCTTGAATTTGCAGTTCACATAATTTAGAATGTAGTTTGGAGGTTTTTTTTAGGAGTATCTAACAAGAAGTATACGTTTTGCTTAGTGACCACTGAAACTAAATATAATTAACAATTCAATAGAATAAATTCCATATTGAGACACCTTTTATTCTGCTGATTTCAACAGCAATTTTATTCAGTGTGTCCATGAGACAGAAAGAGCCAGGCTACAACTCTTCTTCAAATTCAGTGCTATAAGGAACAAGAGCAAATTTAAATAAATAGGAAATAAAGAGAATAAATAGTCTAAATCCATGGTAGGAAGTAAATATCATTTTAAAAAGAAAAAAATACCTTCTGAAAATGAGTATTTTACTCAGAAATATTCTTCAATATCTATGCTCTTTCTTCCTCCCATTAAAGAAAAAAAAATTACTGCTAATCCTTATAGGTTTGTATTTCTACACTGCACACAAGCTAGAATGATGAGGGCCAGGAATGTGGAATGATTCATTTAATGAATGTAATTAATTAAAAGTTCATGAATTCCAAATGCCAATCTTGTGATGGAGATCAGCCTCAGGAGCTAATTTTAATCCAATTACAGAGACTGTACATGTACAGTCAAGCACAACAGTCAACAAACTAAACATTTCCCTTGCTATAGAACCATTGCTTTTCCAATTATAAGACCTTTATGCACAGGAATGAGCCAAGAGCACATACCTTAACTCCATCCTCATGCGAATGCTCAGGTCCCATCACCTCTTTCGTTGCTCTTTTGCCCTCAGCCCAGGACAAAATTACCTTAGACTAGAGCAGTAAGTCGTATTTGAACTAACTGCTCAAACAGGAAATGGCATCACAGCACAATACTATAGCTACGGTCTGACCATAACAAGTTCTCTAGTGAATTGATGGGATAACTCAGAGTACTTTCCTAGGCAGATTTCAGCACTGTGGACCTTGAGAAAGCTGTGAACGACAGTAATACCATTCCTATTAGCTCCAGCAGGCAAACTTCTTTCTCAGGCATCTACCAAACTCTCATCAAAGAGAGTGTCCTATCACACTAAACTTATGATTACAGTTTTAAACTGAGAGAAACCGGAGCAAGAAAGGGAATCTTAAGTTCTAGCTTTTGTGTCCCATCTACTTTTCCTTTCCCTTTTCCTGAGAAATGCTATTAAAAGTCTACTTATCTTTAAATGAAAGAAGATGTAACAGCAATTGGGAAAATGGCTGAACAGAACTTTGAAGAATTCTGAAGAGCAAAATTCTCTGTTCAAGGAATGAAACTGCTCTTTCCACAGCAATTTCCAAAACAGAGGCAAAGACCTTTTTGAATGGAGCACTTTTATAGCACAAAGTTAGTAATTTAAGATTACAGTGCACCGGGAAAAGGAAGGGAACTGTTAAAGCTGTTTTTAAAATCCAATAAGTAAAGAGGAAATGTAATGCCATGCTGTCCTCATGTATCCTGAGTAAAAGGATCAGGGGAGTAGACATAATTTTGCTCTTCCTTAGATTTCTAGTCCTTATTTTTCTTTAGGCCCCATATGCAGATATATGCACAAATGTATACCAACAAAGTATGTGGATTCTCACAGAAAGAGCAGATGATAGCCAAAATTTTGTCTAATATTTGAAATTTAAATGAATACTAAGTGGAAGCAAGAGAATGAGGGAGGTGATGTTTACTGTAAGAAAATACCAGTAAGAAAACAGATATTGCATAACTTCTTATGCATTTTTTGTGAGATTGGCAGTGTCTTTTCTCATTGGCTCTGTAACAACTCACAGATACATTTATAGGTCAAAATATGCATTAATGGTACTAATCTTAATTTCTAATTCATCCATGCCACATTGTGAAAGTCAATGAGAGCACATTTAGGTGTAGCAGCAGAATTTGGCCCTTTCAGTTCAGAAATTTACTCTCTCCCCTTGCTCACTTTCCAGCCTTGTTTTTCAGTTACTGACCACACTGCCTAGTGAACTTAAAAGCTTTTCACATAGACTCTAGAGAGTTTGTAGCTAAGTTATAATGTCTGTTATTACAAACATTAGACTTTTCATTTATTAGCAGCAAAGCCAAGGGACATTTAATGCCAATATGAGGTTTGAATATCCATCCTAATAGCATAAGAATGCTGCTACATACTTCCCAGTACCCTTCATCCTAGTTAAATGACCTTTACTATCACTGAGGTAGCTGTTATCCTTGTGTTAATGCGATACTGTCTCAAAAAATCCTTGATGAAAATGACATTGGCAGAAGTTTGCACTTCTCTGTTCATAAACTGACTTATACAAAGCTGACTTTCAGCCGACTGAAAGTAACTGTCATCTTAAATGCTTACTTTGTCCAGGTCTGTAATGTGAGCTCAGACACTCTGATACCTAAACAAGCATCATAGATAACAAGCTTGTTTTTAATTACCATTTTTTTCCAAGAATTAAGGAAAAAAAGGCAAGCTTTTATACGCCTGCTCAAAAGCAGATCTGAGGATCTGATTCAGGCATTCACACTTTGTTTTCAATTGCAAAAGATTGTGTTATATGGGTCAAAGCACTTTCTGGAGTGCATGTTACTGCCATCACCACCACTGCCACTTCTTTATATTTATGGACTTGAAGACTTATTCTAGAAGAGAAACTGTTTTGAAAGTAACCTGCTACATTCCCTGAGTTTCAAAGGGAACCCGTAGTTAGGACAGCTCTTTTGCTGTCTACCCACCAGCAGTAAAAGCTGTAACTTAAAATTCTGTTTCACTTTAATATATGCTGTGTTTTCATGACTAAACCATTACAAAGTTAGACAATAACTTTAGAAGTAATAACTTATCTTTTTATTTGGGAAACATATGGCTCATTTTAAATATATGTATCTTCAGRAAGCCACAGCAGTGAAAAATGGCTGTCATTTCATAAGCTTCTTATTTTCATTTTATAGATGCCTTTAAGAATTTGTTGTCTTACAGCAAACAAGCTGTAACAACAAACTCTTTCTCCATATGCTGGTAAATTCTTCTCAGGAGAACCTTGGGCAACACTGATAAAGTTCTTATTTTGCATTATTGCCATGAGGAACCACTGAGCCAATGAGTAAAGAAACTCTTGTTTTCTTAGTGCATTGTTGCCAGTATAATTTATAGTATTAGGCAGGATCCTTAATAACGGAAGCCCCACATGACTTGCTTTACTAGTGATTCCAGAAAGTGGAATCAGTGAAAGTTGAAAGATTCAATCAGAATGAGTACTTGGAAATGAAAACTAAACTACAGTTCAGGATAAACTGGAGCCAGGAAAGATAATTTTGAAAAATTTGGAATAGAGGGGGAGGGAATAGCAAATTTTTTTTTTTTTTTTTTTTTTTTTGTGAATGAGCAGTATCACTNTATCACTGTTTTTTTATTCAATTTGTATTATAAAAGACATCCTATAGAGGTTTTAGTATAATTTAATGAAGGCAAGCCAGCATTCTATTGAATTGATCTCTGGAAACACCACTAGATGATTAATCTCTTCATCTTCATTTAATATTGCATTTCAGACTAAGAAAGTCTACTAACAAAGAAATCTCTTCATCATGAATATTCATGAATATTTTACTATTAAAAGATCTGGCTCTCCTGTGATGAAAAATCTTAATTTGGCTCAATGCTGATGATTTGTTGGTGGCATCATTTTATCAACAGCTAGTATCACCTGCTTTTTTTTTTTTATTTTGACGATAATAATTCCTCTCATATTCTGACCAAAATTTGTGAAAATGAATGAGTTCTATGTCAACACAAGTTTTGTTGTCCATCCAGTTTAACCAATCAGATTCTGATTTATTTGGTTAGTTTAAAACAATAATATTTATAAATATATATACATAGACTATTTGGATATTTATAAATATACTTTTTAAAGAATAGTATCCTATAAAAAAATTAAGAGCTAATATAATTAGCACCAAATCAAGCTTCTAATTCCTTTCTGTGCATTATAAAAGCAGGTAAAAATTTCATCGTTTCCTAAATTTTAGAATTTAATTTTCTTTAAGGTGAAAAGGCAATGCCATGGCACAGCTGCATGTGCATGCCTAACCTTTCTCAATAACAGATTTTTGGTTTTGATTTTTCTGATGACAATAGACAGGGTTTCAGTAAACAAATTCTTTCTGAAGAGGATTATAAATATTGTGTATCACTTTTCCTTCTAGTCTGGTGTAGAATGGGCAAAGATTTGTGTCTAGATAATATTAACCAGCATAGTAAATGAGGAAATCAAATGGACAGATCTATGCCACAACCATCACTGCTGTTGGAAAAGGGACAGTGTGTGGAAGAGAGGGAAGTGAGGATATTATTCATTCCAAAACCTTTTTGATTTGCCTGACACATAACTTTGTCTGTTTATGAAAACACAACTGATTTGACAGCAGCTTCTCCAAACATCCAGCACTTTTTGTCATGCTAACAGCCTTATCTCATAAAAGACTCACTTGTTTAACATGCAATTTGTAAAATGTAGACAACACAGCCCCATTCAGTAATTCTAAAAACCTCTGCTCACTGGCTACCAAAACCCATAAGGGTCCATAAACCCCTCAGTCACAACTTGAAAGTTCACTGAGCTACCAAAGTAGCTAAGCCCAAACAAGTTCCACTACGCAGAGATTTCCTCTGTCTAAATGCACCCAAAATATAATTTCAGTATGGTAGGCTTTCTCTGAATATCCTTTGTGTGCAAAAATGTAATTATGTTGGAACTACTCAGATCAACAATAGCAGCAATCAAAGTGTTTCTGCCTAAGAGAACTGGGAATTCAGAGTACAGGAGTTTTGCATAGTCAAGTTCTCTGTGGTCTGGCAGAAGAGATCTAATAATTCTACCACGCAGGATAACTATTTTCCCACTAATACAAGTTGTATTATCAAACACATATTAAAATCTATGAAGAATAATATTTTTTTTTCTGCAATTCCAGGAAGTTCATTTGAAGAATACAAGTAGAGGGAACACAGGAAACAGAAACTACAGAATGTAAGAACATGCCATCCACAAGAGTGAAGAATGAATGTGCCATCTGCAGGATACTTTGCTGTAAATAAATTATTTGTTAAACATTGGAAGACTTAAAGAAAATTATCATTTAACAAGCTTGATGCAATCTCAACCAATGGGCATTCTCCCAGTGAACAATGCAACTAAACATTCCAATATTAAGTTTTTAGAGAAAAGAACATTTTAACCAGCCCAGAACTTAAAAACATATATATATATATATATATATATACACAGATATATATATATATCTGTGGTTGATATATTTTGGTAACCTGTTTTAAATGTCCTGCACAAAAACTCTTAAAAGTCCTGTGCCCCTCAAAAGCCTACAAATTTATGGGCCTTTGATGGATCCAATTGCACTAAATTAACCTATGAATGCTGGCTGCTGGAGTCATTCATCAGCCATGTCTAAGTGTTTTTTTGTTGTTTTTTTTTTTTTTATTTGCACTTCTATACAAGCAACAGGCTGTTTGTTTTACAGTGTCTGATAACATTGTTTGTCTACCCCTTCATATTTGCACAGTTTGACATTCCCCATAGCAGCAGCAGTAAGGTAACATAAACAATTTTAAACATCCATTAATTCCATCTGTGGCATTTTGACAGAATATGGATTAGAGATACAGTCATTCTAGGACAGTATTTTTTTTCTTTCTCTTGCAAAGATGCAATTTATCACAATTTGTGAGACAAATGATTTTTAAAAACAATTCAAGCATACATAGACTCTCAAACCGTTAATAATTCTTCCAGGTAATTGTTTTGCAACAGTATAGGTAACTTCTTTCTTCCTCCATATAATGCAGTATGTAAAATTTATCATATCAATAATACACATATATCAAGCAGTATGTAAAAATCTGTTTTATAGTACAACGGTGCTATTTTATAGTTTGTTACATGAAAGGGTCTGGCCAAAACTGTAGGAGGTAAAAGCAAATATGGAAATACTAAGCCAAAGATGAAATTAAGAATATTCAGCTTTGTTTTAAAATGAACTTAAACGGCTTTAGATTCCAATAGAAAAAAAACCTTCCTCTTCTTCAAAAGAAAATCCAGATATACTTATTTCATTTTAGAGGTTTAGATGATGGTGTATTGCAGTTATTTGGAACATGGGTTCATAGCTGCATGGGCTCAGAGGAGACTATTTAAAAATCATCCTTCAAATTATTTCATAGCCTCACTCTTTCTGAAGTATCAGCCTTCTACACTTTTGTAATAGAAGGCTTAATCTTATACTCTGCCATTTCAAATTTTCCACAATTTGATGAGACTAAATCAAGTATTAATGAGGCCACTGTGTGTGCAACTGTAAATCAGTAAAGTAATATAATTATCAGATTACAATGTAAAAATATTGTTCAGAAGAGGGTGAAATATCCTTCAAAATGCTGCTTACAATAGCCTTTCATGCACTCTTATACAAGGTTTCTGGATAATTTCTGCCATGTCATCTTGATATGGAGTGCATTGTTTCTACCTTGAAAAACACTGTTTCCTATGCTCCATTTTTGTATGCTATTTCAAAGCTAGAACTGAGCATACAACAAAAGGATTAAGCAACCAAAAGCATCCCAAGTAGAGCAATGAATTTTTACCTAGAAGAGGGGAGAGAAGACAGTGGAGAATGCACTTTCCATCTGTCCAGAGCTGCAGTGTGGTTCCGCTTGTCCTTCTCCTGCCGTCACACTGCCCATGGCAAACTCCGACAAGGGAAGAAGCATTGCTTTGTCAGCCACAAAGACGCATAAGGGGAGTACTGTAAAATACAGCAATTAGAGGGAACAGGGAAAAGTGAGATCAGATCTGTAAAGGCTCAGTTCTGCTAACCCTTACCTTCTACCAAATTACTGATTCCTCAGTTGTTCCATTCCTTTAGAAAATACAGGTTTTGTATTTTTTTTCCAAGAAAAATGCAGTGTGTTCTCATGCAGTTCTTTAAACTCTCTTCTTTCTCTACAATGCATGTTTATAAGAAAAACAGGCTGTCATTATACTATTATGCCATCATAAATGGAGAATGGTAAATGACTAAGGAGAATGTGTCACAGCTGTAACTGACAAAGGTAGATATGCTGAAAAAAAAAAAAAAAAAAACAGGAAGAAGGTACAGAGAAGCAGTTGGAGAAACTAAGCTAAACTATTTACCACCAATTCATTGAACAGAGGTAGCAATTCTGACCTGTTACAACTCTCACAGGAGATTTTTGGTACGGAAGGGTTGGTAGAGATATTTTCACTTGAATAGCCATTAGGAATTTTGAAGGGCACTCCAAGAATACATCATTCTTTTGATCTGTCATAAATGTAATACATATTTCCATTTTGTGTCCCATGACTCCTGTCCCTTACCTGCTCCCAAGATCTGGGGAAAAGAATAAGAAAAAGCATGAGCCCAAAAAGCAATTTACAGATCTCTGTGGATGGCAAGTTTCTTCAGAGAAAACATTTTGTTGATGCAATGCTAACCAGCTTTTCTAAAAATTTAGACACAATTGTATTATTTAAATTGCACAAATTAAATTCAAATTTTGTTCCTAACTTGAGGTTCATGTAATCACATTACATTCCACTGTGTTTTTCCCTTGGCTACCATAATCAGGAAGTGTCTCTGGTAGCCAACATTGTCTAGGATCAGAATTTGATAAGTGTCCAGACAAATTATAATTCTTGGAAAGAAAATTAAATAAATAATGAGTGGCTAAAAGTTTTGAAAGAAACATCTTGTTTTACAAGAGAAGGAACAGGATTGAAATACAGAGATTAGATCCATCACTATACAGGCAGGAAATGCATGGGTAGAGAATGCATATTTACATGACAATTCTCCAGACCTATGGCAGGGAGCACATAATGTACTAGTCAGTGCAAAAGAGAAGGATTGCATTAGCTTAATAATGTAAATAAATCCATTACTTTAGGAAGAAAAAGTATTGAGTCAAACTTCTCTCTATCCCAAAGTACAAAGGAATCTGGCTTGAAAACCTTCTTAGAGAAATTCAAGGGTTCAACTAGATTTTAGAAAGCACTCCAGAGTTTTAGGAACAGAGTGCTCACTGGATGTCATTTATTCTCCTAAATCATTTACACAAAAAAAAGAAAACAGTCCCCCTCTCTCAATATCATATAAAACACATGATGGAAGCCACGGATTTTTGCATTCCAGAATTCTTATAAAACTCCCTGTTATTTCACAGARTGTCACTGACACTCAGAAGAAGAAAAGTGAATTAAGTATCATTAAACAGAGTCTCCTTCTCTGGAGATCTTCCAAACCCGCCTGGATGCTGCCCTGTGCCCCGTGCTCTGGGTGCCCCTGCTGGAGCAGGGGGTTGGACTACATGATCTCTAGGGGTCCCTTCCAACCTTAACCATTCTGAGATTCTGTGTGATTCTGTGATTTTCTGTAAATTCATAAAAGTCTTCAGATCTAAATCCACTGATGTTAATATATCTCTTTCTTCAAGGTAGCAACACATAAGTCTCATYTCCACAGAAACCATAATTAGTCATTAAGACTTTTAAATGGGAGATGTATAAATTCTATAGTTGCCAAAAGGTACTCATAAACCTACATTTACAAGTGTGTAGAAGGCTTATATGAGGCATATTTGTTCCATTAAAAAAAGAGAGATAAAAGAAAACCAAACAACAGGATACTGCAATCTGTCCCTGTATGTGCAAGAGAGTAGGAATGCTTTGCACAAAACAGACTACAATCTCAATAGCTCTGTTAGAATTAAAGGGTAAATTTGTGGTAAACTTTCCTTACAAAAGYAAATTCCAGTCATAACTAGCAGCTATGTTCACCTGCCCCGTGAGCTGGTTGTTGACTCAGTATCAATGGTTAAAGTTAATTAAGGAAGATGCTATGCCAAGCCCATGTCTTCTTGGCTCTCTATCTCAACAAGCAAGTGATAAGAGAAGCTCACCAAGAGCATGTACTATATTTGCTTACCTTTTACTGATTTGGCCAATAATGCCAAAGTGGTGCTATTGTTTTGTTTAAGAAAGTACTTGACTAAAATATAAAAGAAAGCATAAATATTTTTTTAAAGTATGGAAATTACAATTATATAGGTAAGGTTATTAAAAAAAAAAAGAAATAAAACTAGCCATAACTTTTCAACTTTTTGTCACTCAACTATAGCAAAATATGTGTTAATTGATGGAGATGGAGGAGTAAGAATCAAAATGCCACAAAAAGCTGTGATTTGAAATGCAATTGTAATTCTAACTAATTAATACAGATTCAAAGAAGAAAAGCATTTAAAGTCATGAGACAATGGATGTGACTGCAAGCCATTCATATTAATGCAATCCCACTTCAAATACTTGCAAACTGCATGCTAAGATGAAATTAATGTTGAGTTTCACTTGAAGTCAGTGGCATGATATGACCAAGATTTTCATTTAGTAAAACTTATTTTTACCTGATAATTTTCTTACTCATGACATGCCTCAATGAAGAGCAAAAGATTCTTAATATGAAACTGATGTTACTTTTAATTCTTATTGGTTCTGAATTGTGAGAAAAAGTTGAAATTTATGGCTAACAGTCTGTGAATTTTTTTTAGTTTTTTGTGGTCACTATGAACATCCTAATGTGCAGAATTATACATTTCATTGTTTTGTTTTCAAATGATGGTAAATTAAGCCCAAATAGAGATTCTTTGAAGCTATAGGCTAGATAGAATACTTATGTTCTGATGAAGTTATAATCAATATATTTAAAATGTTTTATTTTTAGTCTTAAAAGGAATAGTAATAATTTATTTGGGGGCTCAACCTATACTGGTCCCACTTTTAAAGATACTGTTCAATAAAAACAAGTCTTCCAGATTCCAAACTTCTATTCAAAATCAGCATTCATTCATCCCACCCTTCCCAATCCAGCCAATTAAGTTAAAAATCTATTGCAACATAAGTTTTATTATTAGTTTGTTTTGGGGGGTTGCTGTGTTTCACTTCACTTAGTTCTGTTTTTAAGGCAGGTAAAGGAGGAAGGCATGAAGCACCCAAGCAGTTAAGATTTTTCTTTCTGGCTGCAAACCACAAAAAATAAAG